AACCAAACCAAAACCTCCGCCATCGACCACCACAAATCACAACTCCACAGATCTATGCGAAGAAATTAAACTAAGAAAAAAATTGTTCCCACCGCCGCTGCCTCACACCAGCACCATCACCCCTTCTCTTCTCCTACTCAATCTGCAGCGCCGGCGATGACATTGCTTGTGGTGTGGTGTTAGTCGGAGCAACTCCATCACTTGTTGTCGGGGTTTGAAGGGGAAGAGGAGGGGAGGCGCGAGAGAGGGGAAGGAGTAGAGAGTGATAAATTAGGGTTATTAATGAGGGTTTTAATATAGTACCTGATTTTTGAATAAATAAACTTTAGATTTGAGTTTTAAAAAGCAATCTTTAAACACTTGGATTTATGTAATTTTCCCATATTATTTACCAAAAAATATTTATCAACTTGGCCCAAGTCCAAGCCCACAACCCGTGACGTGTCTAGCCGACGACGGCGCGCTTGGGCTTTGGCTCAACCTACTAGCATGTAGGTTTTCTTCCCTTCAAAGACTATTGGTACCCCTTGGAGCCCAAACTCAAATTCCAATATTGAGCAATATGAAGTTGTTTCTACTCTTCTAGCATTCCTACGTGGGATTAACATTTTCCAATTTCCCACCCATTTTATTCTCAATTTATTTCAACTTCAAGTGATCATATTTTGGCTTTAATTTCTCATTCACCCTAAATTGGTTTTGAGAAAATAAATACATTACATTAATCTACTCATGGAGCAGAATACATTCGACCAAAGAAATCTTTTGTCCAACTAATAGGATCTACTAAAATAATTGGTCAAAAGTTGGTCAAACCAACTAATAAAACCAATTTTTTTCAACAGCATGAACTTGCATCACCTTCTTTGAGAAATCTAAAGTATACTTGGGACAGCAGGACCTGGCTGCTCTTCAATAGCAGGTGGAGCAATGATAGAACAAGGACCCTTTCAGGCGAATCTCGATGGAAAAACTCTATGGTATTAACCAATATGCATGGAACAATGGTGAGTACTTACATCCTTAAAACAATTTATAAAATAGATTTTTTGAACGAATAACCTCTTATAGAAGTTCTATTGCTGGAAATGTAGGGGCAAATGTCCTCTTCTTGGAATCTCCAGCTGGTATTAGATTTTTATATCCCAATACTCATCAAATTATGTTACTGGGGACAAAAAGACAACACTAGATTCATATACCTTTCTAGTTAACTGGTTGGAAAGATTTTCAGAGTACAAAACCCGATACTTCCACTTGAGAGAGTCATGTCAGTCATTACGTGCCTCAACTTGATGATTTAATCCTCGAAAGCAACAAAATCATAGATAAAACTGTCATTAACCTGAAAGGAATTGATGTAAGCTTTCAGGTACAATATGCAGTCTGTTTCTATAATGTGTCTTTCTTATCAAGAATCATAAGATCCATGCGTGTTACATAATGGACTCCAAACACCAAGAAAATCGGGACAATCGACCACCATAATCAACAAACCCAAACCCAATCCCAATCGAACCTCCCAAAATCGATTGTTCTCTAGTTTCCACAAAGGGCAACAGTGTGGAGAATATGGTAACCTCAAGAATAGGGATGGCAATTCAAACTGTTAAAATCGAAAACCGGGGCTAACCAAACCGAATGGGGCGAAAAAAACCGAACAGATGGTGCAATAGGGCGGTTATGGTTTTGATT